GAGGGGCCATGTGCGGGTGGGGCTATCGGTCTCCTCCTCCTCCTCGTCCTCCTCCTCCTCGTCCTCCTCGGGTCTCCAGTGGCAGTTTCATTTTTTTAGTGGCTGCGGTGTGCGCTGGAGGCGCACTTCCATGTCTTTGCGGTCGCCGGGGAATTCTGTAACCGCCTCCTCCTCCTCCTCTACCTCCTTCACAATTGCAGTTAATTGCTCAACATAAACTGATCATATCCAACGCTGCCGCCGCTGATCTCGCCTATTTTCTCCCCCACAGCGTTGAACTTGTCCTTTCAGCTGGTGCATTTTGGTCAGTGTTCTGCAGTCGATCGTGGTTGCTGCGTCGGGAAAAGGCTGGTCTTGAATTCGTGCTATTCGGGCGGAACAGTATTGGTCTTTCAAGCAGTAGATCGAGGACGTGAGATCGGCAGAAACAGTAGAGACGTGCCCAGATATGGCAAAGTATTGGTCTTTGAAGCAATGGGGTTGGCATGTTCTTAAGATCGGTGCTTTGTCTTTGTCGTTCAAAATGGCGCTCACGCCCCGGTGCGGGCCACGATTCCTCCCTCGTCGTGGCCGCCCCCTCCTTTCCTCCGCCTTCCCCTGGTCCTCCCGGTCCTCCTGCTTGTCCTGCCCCTGCTTCTGCTGCTGCTGCTCCTCCTTCTCCTCCTTCCTCCTCCTCCTCCTGGCTAAATCTCGCCCAACTGATGCACCTCCTGGCCTCACGAACGACTGGAACCGCCCAAAGGACTTCCCGATCTTCCGAATGAATGCCAAGGAAGAGGTCGCTGTCTCGCCGGTCCAAGCGAGCATCCAGCAGTGGATCACTGACGCGGGGTACGCGCTGGGTCAAGAGTGCCGCCTGGAAGGCGCTCAGATGGGCAAGCAGTTCTTGTTGCGCATGCTCGGTCCCGTGTAGGTGACTGTCCTTGCACGGCTCCGCCATCTCCAAGCGGGCCTCAAGCTCGCTGCTGGTTCATGGTGCTCGTTCTCTATGCAAGGCCTTGGTGGTCGTCACATTCCCTTGTACATCCCCAGGACGAAAGTTTTTTCTCTTGGGCCTGGAACGACGGGTTGAAGTCTTGATCATACGCGTATGAGATAACCGCCGTCGGGTCCCATGAAGTTCGCGCGGATCCAAGTGTGGCTTTGGTGTTTGTTTCGGTGGATCCGATTTCCGTCCGCGCGGATCCGATTTCGCATGTGCTGGATCCGTGCTCGGTCTTGTTTTTTACGGTGGATCCGGTCTTTACCGCTTTAATTAAACTTATATCATTGAATTAAAACGGGAAGCCGGAGGACATCGGATCCGCGGACTCCAGAACCCGTCCGTGTTCAGATTTTGCGGGGGAAGGGGGTTTCTGCCATTATTTCCAATTCATCATCGCCATTTGCGCCTCACGAGGAAAGTCTTTCGTCCTGCGTAAGTATGTGGGACTTGAGGAGAACCAGTGAGATGTCGCTCGCGAGCGTGCCTGTAAGCAACTGCGGACTGCCCTCGAGGCCGCCTTCGTGCTCCCGTTTGAGCTCTACATCGGCCGCAAGGGGGGCGTCATGACCTACCAGTGGGAGCCGCTGGCGCGGATCAACGTGTCGCCTTCGTCGCCTCCCACGGTCACCTGGAACAAGCATTGCTTAGCGGACACGGGCGTCGACTACACAAAGCTTGTGGACCTGGCCTCCCGCACGTTCAAGAAGCGTGAGGTCCTGTGGTCGGGGTAACACTTTCCTCGGAAATGCTTCAGTGGAGTACTTGAGCTGGAACTGCAGGCCCTGTGTCATCACGGTAGCTCTGCAGTGGGTCTTCGTTTGAAGTTGCTCAGCGAGATGGTGAAGTCCAACTCGATTGTCGCGTTTCAGGAGACGCACGGGGATCGCGCGGCTCTGAGGAAACTGTGCTTCCAGGCTCGCACTGGGCACCACAACTTTGCATCGTACATCCCTGGTTCCAAGGGTGGCGGTGTCGCTACGTTGGTCCCACGTCTGACTGATGCCCTGGCTTTCGAAATCGTTGGGGAAGCCTTGGTCCCTGGGCGCGTGCTGCACCTCCAGTTGCAGAGTGAAACTTCCACTTTGTTCCACTGGAACGTGCAGTCTGTGAACGTTTGCTTGGGCAGATCGAGGTAGTCCGAGGGAACCCTCTTCGTTTCGGCCTCATCCTGCAAGGTGATTTCAATATCGATGCTCGGTCGACCTGGAACTTGGAGAAAAAGCTCTGCTGCCGACTCGGGCTTGAGCTGACAGGCCACCTTGTGAAGAGTAGCGTCTGCCGAGGGGTCGACGTGCCAGTGATGCTGCTGCTGCTGGGCATGCTGGGGAGCGCGCGCACCTCCTGATCCCTTGTTTGGTGCACCCGTCCCACCGCGAGAGAGTCCCGACGAACACAAGAGATGCCCGCCGCACTCGACACAAATGCCACGGCGTGCAATGAGGCAATTGTAAGCCCAATGGCGGCAAATACACACCGTGTATGGGGCTCTTCCTGCCGCCTTTGCCCGCCTTGTTGCCTTTCGACGCCGCCCCCCACCCGCTGGTGGATTCGGGGTGGGTGCGCCATGGACACGGGCCACCAGGCATGACGGAGACAGCGAACGGGGAGGGACTTTTGCCGTCGGGCTGCCGACGGGATTGTGGCCCCATGACCTGGTGTGACCTGCTGCGGAACAGCGGTGTCCACTATTCACCTGGGGGTTATGCATCTTGAGCCAACACGGCTACGCAATAGAAGCAGGCGGAGGAGGACAAGGTGAAGGATACGTGGGAGGGGAATGGGGGAGCAGGATGATGGGGAGGCGGAGGTTTGGCAGGAGGAGGAGGAGGAGAAGGAGGAGGAGGAATAGGAGGAGGATGATGAGGAACAGGAGGAGGAGGAGGAGCAGGAGGAGGAGGAGGGGGAGGAGGAGGAGGAGGAGGAGGATGATGATGCTGCTGCTGCTGCTGATGATAATGATGATGATGAGGAGGAGGAGGAGGAGGGGGATGATGAGGAGGAGGGGGAGGAGAAGGACCAGTGTAAACCCAAGACTCATCAACGATGTTGGAATTAACCCTCCCTCCAAGCTCCCTCTTCGCAGGTCCCTACAACGGTTCATTTCCATTGAGGGAGCTGCCTCGTTGGAAGACAACAGTTTGAAGACCTCGATGCATGCCAAAGCATTGTTCTCGGGATTTCCACTCCACGGACCAACCTGACTGCTTCGTCCTGACGATTTGGAATCGTGCAACACCGCGAACCAACATAACTGTTTCACCCGCATAATCCTGAATCCTTCTAAGACAGAAGTTCTGGTACGTTGATCATGGGAACTCGTGAAACTCTTGCAATTTGTTACAACGAATGTGCGCGGCGCTATGGCGAGAGCCACATTTTGTAAACGACTTGCCCTCAATCCGTGAAACCCTTGGCAATTTGTTCAACCGAATGTGCGCGGCGCTGAGGCGAGAACCACATTATGTAAACGACCCGCCCTCAAACCCTGAAGCCCTTGGAATTTTGTTAAGTCGGAAGGACCCAACCATACGCAGTTGTGAATACCGCAATTGTGCTGGGTGGCGGCGGACGCATGCGGGCGGTGCCACTAGGACCTTCGGTGGAGCCCCCTATGAGACCACGAAGCGCTGTACTTGGCGGGTGAAACGCAGGGGGCAAGGGCTGTGCTGGGTGGTGGTGGGCGCATGCGGGCGGTGCCACCAGGACCTTCGGTGGAGCCCCCTATGGGGCCACGAAACGCTGTACTGGGTGGGTGAAACGCAGGGAGCAAGGGCTGTGCTGGGTGGTGGCGGACGCATGCGGGCTCCCGATGGGGCCACGAAGCGTTGTAGTGGGTGGGTGAAGCGCAGGGAGCAAGGGCTGTGCGGGGTGGTGGCGGACGCATGCGGGCGGTGCCACTGGGACCTTCGGTGGGACCCCCTATGGGGCCACGAAGCGTTGGTGGGCGAAACGCAGGGAGGAAGGGTTGTGCTGGGTGGTGGCGGATGCTTGCGGGCGGTGCCACTGGGACCTTCGGTGGGGCCCCCTATGGGGCCACGGAACGTTGTACTAGGCGGGTGAAATGCAGGGAGCAAAGGCTGTGCTGGGTGGTGGCGGGCGCATGCGGGCGGTGCCACCAGGACCTTCGGTGGAGCCCCCTATGGGGCCACGCAACGCTGTACTAGGTGGGTGGTACGCAGGGAGCAAGGGCTGTGCTGGGTGGTGGCGGACGCATGCGGGCTCCCAGTGGGGCCACGAAACGTTGTAGTGGGTGGGTGAAGCGCAGGGAGCAAGGGCTGTGCGGGGTGGTGGCGGACGCATGCGGGCGGTGCCACTGGGATCTTCGGTGGGACCCCCTATGAGGCCACGAAGCGTTGGTGGGCGAAACGCAGGGAGCAAGGGTTGTGCTGTGTGGTGGCGGACGCATGCGGGCGGTGCCACTGGGACCTTCGGTGGGGCCCCCTATGGGGCCACGGAACGCTGTACTAGGTGGGTGAAACGCAGGGAGCAAGGGCTGTGCTGGGTGGTGGCGGGCGCATGCGGGCGGTGCCACTGGGACCTTCGGTGGGGCCTCCTTATGGGGCCACGCAACGCTGTACTAGGTGGGTGAAACGCAGAGAGCAAGGACTGTGGTGGGTGGTGGCGGACGCATGCGGGCGGTGCCACTGGGACCTTCGGTGGAGCTCCCTATGGGGCCACGAAACGCTGTACTGGGTGGGTTAAAACGCAGGGAACAATGTGTTTGCTGGGTGGTGGCGGGCGCATGCGGGCGGTGCCACTGGGACCTTCGGTGGAGCCCCCTTATGGGGCCACGAGACGATGTATTGGGTGGGTGAAACGCAGGGGGCAAGGGCTGTTTCAGGTGGTGGCGGACGCATGCGGGCGGTGCCACTGGGACCTTCGGTGGAGCTCCCTGTGGTGCCTCGAAGCGCTGTATTGGGTGGGTGAAACGCATGGAAGAAGGATGAGGGAGGAGGAGGGGGAAAAGGATGAGAATAGGAGAGGAACGCGGCGACCGTCTCTTCAAAACGAGGAC